CCCAGTTCTGGGCTACATAGAGGCAAGGAGGGCCTTCCTCGTGGGGCCCCCAGCCACCTTGCCCCGTCTTCCTCACCCAGGAACCACAACAGTCCACTCGACTTTCCTGAAACACATTCCTGGGAACACAGACACAGTGGGAACAGGGGTTCTGGCCAGGGAGAGAAGGCAAGCAGCTGCAGTGCCCACCCTCCTTTGGGCCTGGCACTCCCAGTGGGGGAACCCTCTCCCCACCCGATGGGGCCTCTTCTCAGGCCCCTCCACCACCCACCCCAGGTCTCCCCTGTAAATGGACCATTCAGGCACCCTGTTCCTCCAAGCTCGAGCACAGGACAAGAGCAGGCCCGCGACTCATGGCACCTCCCTCAGACAGAAGGACAGCACAGACTTGGGCAAAATAATTTTATTGTTTAAAAAAATAAATGTTATACCTGACATACAAAAATGCTTTTATAAAACAGTTTGAAAAGTTTCAAAAGGCACTAGTTCTGGGTGTGCTTCCAGGGCCCCGGAAAAATCAGGGCACACTGGCAATGCTGCCCTGGGGTGGTCCGTCCTCCCCTGGCTGGGCCAGGGCCCCAAACCTGAGTTCACTACCATGGGACAGAGGACAGAGCACATGGCGCCACAGAGCCTTGGCCCCAGACCTCCGCAGGTCTTGGCTCTAGGCCCAGGCACCTGCAGCTCAGATGCTCACGTCCACCTGCAGAGGCCCTCACGCTGGGTCCTGGGGGAGGAACCCGCTTGTATCTCGTCCTGGAGAGAAGGTGTCCGACCCCCACCCCAGGTTCTGAGCTCAAGCGGATCTGGGGCCCCTTGCCACTTGTGCAGAGTAGGCGAAGGACCGATCCTGACATCCAGGTCTGTCTGCCCATGCCGGCTGCAGGCCGCTCGGAGGCAGCCCTGCTGCTCTCAGCCCTGGGAGATGGGCCCATCCCTCCGCAGAAAGGATACAGAATTAAAGGCTGGGCCTGAGAACCCAAGATCCCGCAGAAACGTCCCCGGCCTTGTGCTGCCCACCTGCCCCCTTGCCCACGCTGGGTCGCACAGGCATCTCTGTGCATACCGGTGCACCCCTCCCCTGCAGAGCTGGGAAAGGAGGGCATTCCACCAGAGGGCCCCTTCCCTGCCCCCCAGCCTCCAGCTTGCAGGAACTGCATCCCCTGTCATGGAGTGCATGCCTCACGCTGCTGCAGCATTCTGGAATGTTCCCTGCTTTACCATGAGCTCAGGGAGTCCCCTGCGTTTCTCTCACACCCCAGGAACCAGGAGCCTGGGGAGCCAGGGGAGTGGGCTGCATGCGATTTCCTGAAGGAGGTCTGCTATCCTCCCAGGAGCTTCAACTGCTTTGGGGTCCTGCCATATCACACGGCAGTAGGCATGTGATAGGTCTGATATAAAGGGGAGGGTGGGTTCTGCTCTGGGGTAGGAAGATGGCACGGTACACAACAAAGCAGAGAACACACCATGTCCAACCCGTATGCCTACAGCAGCAGCAGCTTAAGAAACAGTGGGGCCGGTACACAGGCATAGCAAACTAATCCTCTGCCTGTGGCACTGGCATCCCACATAGCTACCGGCTCAAATCCTGGCTGCTCCACTTCCAACACAGCTGCCTGCTTATGGCCTGGGAAAGCAGTGAAGGATGGCCCAAGTGCTGAGCCCCTGGCACCCCTCCACTCATATGGGGAAAAAGCTCCTGGTTCCTGATTGGCTCAGCTCAAGCTGATGCAGCTACTTGGGGAGTGAACTAGCAGGTGGCAGACCTCTCTGCGTAACTCTGCCTTTCAAATAAAAATGAAATAAACCTTAAAAAAAAAAGATGCAGACGACAGTGCCACTTCCACCTGTCACATCACCGGTGTGCAGTGAGAATGGTTGTTACCTCAGACCACAAATGTACAGTCGGGTGAGGCGACTCCAGGGACTGCAGCAGAAACACGCGGCACCTCCCAAGGCCGAGCTACACCCACCCAGGCACCCCTTGATTTTTCCGTGTGAAACACACAGAGAATTTCCAACTACTTGTTTACTCCCCAAATGGGTGCAACGGCCAGAAATGAGACCACACCAAAACCAGCATCCTAGAACTCAGTCCGGACTCCCATGTGTGCTGAGGTCTGAAGCCCTGAGGCCATCTTCCTTCCCAGGCACATCAGCAGGGAACTGGATCAGAAGCGCAGCAGCCAGGACCCAACCTGCTGCCCAGTGCTCACTGAATGCTGGCACCACAGACGGCTGCTTAGCTTGCTGTGCCACCCTGGCGCGGTCCAGCCTTGGAGGCACGGCCTTCTTTTACCCTCTCCCCTTCTGCAGTTTCCTTGACAACAGTGAACAGGTGCTGGCTACGCTGACCTGGCACGGTGGCCACTCGCCTCATGTCACCACGGGCTTTTCCTACAACTTCTTCCCCCTTTGGCCCTGAGCTTACAGAGCCAAAGTGTCCACCTGTGGGCCTGGAGGTGAAACCCAGCTGTGCAAGGCTGCCTCAGACAGCTGCTTGTCCCTGCTCTGTCCTGCTGTCCCGGATTCCTGTACAGAGGGGGAAGGAGGGACGAAGACAGAGCTAAGAGGAACTCCCTAAGAGGAACTCCCAGGGTTGGGATGCCAATGTGTGGATGGAAACCCTCGAGGGAATATTCTGGAATATTCGTCCCCCGAGATGCTTTGGTTAAATGGCTCTTCTAGGAACTCTGGGGGGGGGGGGGAAGGGGAGGGGCGCCAACGAACATTAAGAAACAGGAAGCCGAGAGACGTCCTCAGGCACGGGAGCAGACGCGTGTCTGAATTCTCATCGGAATCTGGCAACAAGAATCCGGGAGTCCTTGGTTGCTTCTCCGCCACACAGGGCCAGCCTGCCGAGGGAGGACCGTGCTGCACTTTACAGATATGCAGGTGCACGGGCAGGCCCTGCCCACTGACTCCTGGGCTCCAGCAGCGATTGTCACCCCCACTGCACGAGGCCCAAGGGTGAGGAAGCAGCTAGCAGGGCCTAAGAATCTAGCCCAGCTCCAGGGAGGCCACCTAAAAATCACACGGGCAGGGCTGGCGAGGTGGCACAGCGGCCGCCCGAGTCGCCAACATCCCTCACGGGAGAACCTGTGCGCGTCCCGGCTGCTCTGCTCCAGTCCAGCCGCCTGTTACCTTGCTTTTCAAATAAATAAATGAATAAATAAACACATCTTTCAACAAGGAATCAAGCAGGCAAGCTGCAGGCTTCGGCCCGAGCCTCCTCACCAGCACCTCAGCCATGGCGATCTCCCGCCTGCCTGAGCCAGCCCCAGGGCCGAATGTCCGCGAGTCCAGGCCTGTGACACAGTGTACCAAGGCTTTCCTCACTTCCCTGAGGGAGCCTGAGCTTCTGGAATTCCTGAAAAGCCCCAAGCCTCAGGTCCTGTAGGGCCCCTCGATGCCCCGGTTTGCCAGCAGGTGGGAGTTAGGAAGGGAGCCCTGCTTCTCAAACTCTGATGAGAGAGCGCAGAGGGGCAGGGTGCCTCTGGGAAACTCAGGACGAGGCCACATGGGCCCCCAGAGTGGCCCCGGGGCTGCGATCTCTCTTCCCCACACCAGGGGGAGGGTGGGGAGCAGGCATGGGCTGGGTAGGGGTACTGTATCCCGGTTGTTCTTCTCAGGGGCCTCTGAGAAAGGCCTCTGCCCCTGACACTGGCCCTACAGAGGCAAGACAGGGAGGACGCCTGAGGAACCCAAAAGCCCCAGGGATGACAGAAGGGCTAAAACCTGCTCATGCAGGAGGAGCTGCCGGCAGGCCCAGGTAGGGGCGGTGTGCGGGCGCCCCACGTGACCACAGGTGGAACTCCAACACCTCCAGAGCGGCTTGGATTGTCGGAGACGTAGGGGATGGCATTTTACCAAACCAGCCTCTCAGGTGAGAGCCCCTGGCCCTTGCAGCTCCTGGGGAAAAGAGAAGGCCATGGAGGAAGTGTAGCAACCCCAAGCAAATACTCCTACACTCCCACCCTCCTACCCCAACCTGCGGCCGCTGACCCTGGCCACCTCTCAGCCCCTCGGCGGCTCCGCCACTTGAGAAGTTGAAAACAGACATCATATCTGTCCTGGGATCTCTCTTTGTTGCTGGTTTTTCTTTCAAAAATATCAGAGCTCCCCTCGGGTGGGGTCAGGAGGTTCCAGGATACGGACAGCCCTAGCAAGGGCGCAGAGGCCCAAGCTCGGCTCCCAGGGACGCCAGGAAGGGTGCGCAGGGGTGGCGGGAGGCAGGGACCTGCGCAAGGCAGTCGTAGGCTGCAGGCCGCCACGAGGTAGCATGAGGAGCTTCTGTGGCTTTCCTGGCAGGCTCCTGTCTGCTGGTTGGAGCCGCTGGATGCCCCAGCACCACTTGAGGTCACGGTGGTCACCATCAGAGGGCAGGAGATACCCACCTGGCGGCCTCTCCCAGGCTAGGGCTCCCCAGAATGGCCCAGCTGTGTGTGTGTGTGTGTGTGTATTGGCAGTGAGAAGCTGGCCAGAGAGGAGATGGCACAACTGGGGCCCAGACCGCTCCCCTCCAGGCATGGTGGTTCTCAAAGGGCAGTAGCCCTTCTGACATTCATGTTGGCTGCCGTTCCCGGGAGGGGGCAGCTCTGCTGTCAGGCTGCTCAGGAAGGACCCAGAGGCAGGCCGGAGGAGTGGGCTGCGGGTTCCAGGTGCAGAGTCTGAGGGAGGGGCAGGGGTTTGACAGACCTACAGCGTGGGGATGGCCTGCAGCCACCCTGCCCTGTCCTCCCCTTCCATCTGGCTTTCTCCGGGCAGTTCCCTGGTCCCCCTCCTGGCATGGCTACTTTTGGTCCACCTCCTCTGTGCTGTGGCTGCTGCTGGCGGGCCGAGGAGATCCCATTTTTGCCTGCTTTTCGTGTCTGTCTGCCACAGCCAGGTAGCATGGGACCGCCTCAGGGGCTGGGGCCTCACCCTCTCCTCTTCGGGGTCTGACTAGGCAGCAGGTGCACCGGGCAGGTGAGAGGCCAGGAGCAAGGGGGATGCTGACTAGGCAGCAGGTGCACTGGGCAGGTGAGAGGCCAGGAGCAAGGGGGATGGAAAGCATAGGAATGAGTTGCGGGCAGAGGTGCCCCGTCCATCAGCCCAGCAGGGCCTCATAGTCCACATACCACACCAGCTGGCCGGAAGTGGGCAGGACACCTGAGATGGGCCACTTCCTGGGCTCCCGGCCCACACGGCTCACCAGCAGGGTTATCTCCCGCTTCATCCTGCCCATGACCAGGACTGCCACCTTCTTGGCCCGGTTGATGAGGGGCAGGCTGAGGCTCATGCGCTGGTGTGGCCTGGAGGGGCTCTCTGTCAGTACAACCAGCTGCTCCCCGTCCAGGCCAGCGGGCGACTGCGGGAAGAGAGAGGCCGTGTGCCCGTCGGTGCCCATGCCCAGCAGCACCAGGTCGAAGCTGCTGTTGGTCACCAGGGCCATGATCTCGCCGGCATAGGTCTCGGCGCCCTGGTCCTCCTTGGCACAAAGTCGCTGGTGCAGGTGCACGGGCATGGGGTGGATGTTGTAGTAGGGGACCCTGATGTGTTGTAGCAGGTGTGCCTGCAGACTCTGGAAGTTGGACTCGGGATCCGAGAGTGGGACGCAGCGCTCATCCACCAGCCACAGGTGTGTGTGGGCCCAGGGAAAGGCATAGTGGCCGGAGGCCAGCTGCTGGAACAGGGCAATGGGGCTGGAGCCTCCAGAGAGTGCCAGGTGGAAGGTGCCACTGTGCCTCACTGCCTGCACAGCCGCCGCCTCCATGTCGCTGGCCAGCCTGGAGATGAGCTCCTCGGGCCAGGCCGAGATCAGAGGGCTGTCTCGGTACCTGGCCCCCAGGACCTGGAAGTCGCCGGGCTGCGGGGCAGGGCCTGGCACCAGCTGCTCCGGCTGCTGCAAGGAGAAGGCCAAGTGGCCACCTGTGAACTCAAAGTCCAGCAGCCGGCCGCTGTCAGCACCTCCTGGGTAAGCACGTGGGACCTCCTTGGCCAGGCTGTCCAGCAGCGGTGTCCAGAAAACCCAGGAGGCCAGCAAGTGCTCCGTGGGGACGAAGGATTCCTTGCGGGCGTGGAAAATGTGCGACAGGAGGAGGGAATAGGCATCTTGCTCTCTCACGGGGCTGAAGGCATAGAAATCAGACAGGGGCTGGCCAAAAAGTTGGAGGCCGGGCCTGTCCTCCACTTCCTTCCAGCTCTGGGTGGGCAGGAAGGGCCTGAACAGGTTCTTGCTGACCAGCACGGCGGGCTGGCCCAGCGGGCCGTGTCCGATATAGAAGATGACCTGGCGTGGCCTGCATGGGCTCTGGCTTGGGGCCCGGCGCTCCTCGCTCTGTGCACAGAACGCCCGGTCCTTAAACAGGATGCGCACATAGCCCACTCTCTCGTCCAAGGCCTTGCCGGACACCAGGATGAAGGGGACACCCTCCCAGCGCAGATTGTCCACGTGGACCAGGACGCCTGCGATGAGGACAACAGAGGGTGACCCCGCAGCAGGGGGGCAGCTGCCCTGTCCCTCTCCTCTTCCCGACCCTTCCACGCCAGCCTCGGGGACCATCGCTGCGGCTTTGATGTTTACCATTCCCATTAGCCCCCCAGAAGTCTCCCAAGAGGGTGAGCAGGGTGATGCTGGGATTTCCACAGGGGGAGACGTTGCTTCTTTCTGGGGATGCCTATAGTGAGATCAGACAGCAATGGCGTGGACGGACAGCTGGGGAACCAACTGTTGGCCATGCCCCTCAGCCCAGCTCTGCCCCCGCGAGCCGGGGTCTCATGGTCCATTTCACTGCAGGCGTACGGGCCTGTAGGGATTCAACACCTAACTCTGTCACTCTGAACTTCTAGAACTGTCCAGAGGAGATCTACAAAGCCTCATAGCACTGCCTCCAGCTGGCCTGGATAGAGCTGTGAGGCCTCACAGACAAGGCAGGTGTCAGCTCCCTGGGGACAGGAGCCAGGCCCGAACCTCCCCCTGTGGCTGGCATTGAGATGGTCGCCTGCCATGGGCATGGCCCATGTGAACTGCTGCTGGCAGAATAACTGAAGGGCAGGGCAGTGCCTACCCACCCCTCGTCATCACTGAGCCCACCCCGAAGGGCACACGGGTCTGGGCGTCACCTGCGAAGGTGGGTGTCCGGCTGCGGAAGCTGTCCGGCTTGCCCAGCTCCCTGCGCACTTGCTCGCTGTAGGCCAGGTACTGGCCCACCACGGCACTGCCCCTGTGCAGGCTGCGCAGCACCCGGAAGGCCTGGAGCTTGTGCTGTAGCACAGCTTCGGAGGCGCTGACGTTGGCCGGCAGCTCCATGGCCACGAGTGTGAGGATTTCAGTCAGGTGGTTCTGCAGGGTGTCTCGGATGACGCCATACTCCTCATAGAAGCTGGTGCGACCTGCAACGGAGGAGGGAGGAGGGGAAGAGGGTCAGCGTGGTGCACAGAGACCCCCACCCAGCACCCTTGCCTGGCATCTTCACAGCTCAGTCCAAAGATGTACCCCAGAGGCACCCCCAGGTGTCTGAACTGATGAAGCTGTCACACGTTCAGCCCCGGCATCTGTGTGCTGGATGCTCGGCCCCAGTGCAGCCGTGTTGACCGGTGGGGCACCTTTAAGAAGTAATGAGGTGGTGAGTGTTGTGGTACAACAGGATGAGTCACCCGCCATGCCAGCATCCCAATCGGAGCACACGTGCAAGTCGTAGCCACTCCACTTCCCACCCAGATCCCTGCTGATGAGCCTGGGAAAGCGGTGAGGATGGCTCACGTCCCTGGGCTCCTGCCACTCCCATGGGAGACCCAGATGAGGCTCCCAGCTCCTGGTTTGGCCTCTCCCAGCCCTAATCATGGAAGCCATTTGCTGAATGGCAAATGGCAAATGGAAGACATCCCTCTCTGCCTTCCAAAGAAAAATAGAAAGTGCCTCTAGGACCTGAAGAGGCAGTCCCAGGAGAAGCCAGGGAGAGTGTATTTGGGGTAAAGAGGTGCTTGGAGGACCTGGGTGGGAGAGCAGGGGGCAGGATGGGATATAGCTGGGGGGAGCCAGGGCTTTGGGGTCTCTCAGGACCAAGCAAGGGTACTGTGCTTTGTTCTAACTCCAGGGAAAGCCATGGTGTGAAGCAGACACAAGTTCTATTCAGCATGGATGCCCAGCATGCCCTGGGAACAACAAAACCCAGCTACAGGGGATGCGAGAGTCGTTTGGGGGCCAGAATCCACCAGACACGCTGAGGGGAGGGGCACGTGTGAGCACAGCTGAGGACTGAGCCGCGGGTCGGCCAGCAGGGGCCATGACAGGGACAGCGGAAGAAGAAGGGCTGCTCGGCCCAGAGGGGGGACACAATGCCAGGGCTTGCGATGGCAGAGTCCTGACAGCGACACCCATCTCTGCCACTCTGAGGGCCAGGCCACAGGGCTCCAAGTCCAGGGTTCAAGTGCACAGCACGTCACGTGGTACAGCTGACTTGCCACCAGTTTGCAAACAGCCAGCTCCACTCACTGCATGGATGCGACAGTCAGTGCACAGGAGGTCCTGCACCATGGGGTCACTGCCTCCCCTGGCCAACTGCAGCTCACCCTCGCAGTCTCTGCTCCTCAGGGGCCAGATCCTCTCCCAGTCCCCTGGCTGTGGTCCAGTACCTGCCTTGATCCCTTCCTTTCTGCACCTCAAGTCTCATTGGACTCTAATCACCACAGCGCCCAGCACCTGCCACAGTATGACAGCCACAGGTGGGCAGCACAGGGATTAAACAGGCACACACACCATCACAGATGCTGTGACAGAAAAACATGCTTGCACCTGCAAATGAGACAGGCAATGACCAGAGCAAGCAGCACTTCAATGCAAAGAAAACAAAACTGGAAATGGGAAACTCCACATGAGGGCCAGCGAGCAGTCATGGTTAAGTCACAGCCTAGGCTGCCTGGACCCCACGTCAGGGCACCTGGACCCCACGTCAGGGTGCCTGGATCCCACGTCAGGGCACCTGGACCCCACGTCAGGGCACCTGGACCCCACGTCAGGGTGCCTGGATCCCACGTCAGGGCGCCTGGATCCCACGTCAGGGCACCTGATCCCATGTCAGGGCGCCTGGATCCCACGTCAGGGAGCCTGGATCCCCCTTTCTCCTTCTCTCTCTCTCTCACCCTGCCTTTCAAATGGAATAAGTGCTTATGGAATCAGAAATACTCAAAACAAAAAAGAACCTGGGGAATAATCTACCCCAAATGTAGAAGAGCTGGGACGGGGCTTGGGCAGGGCCCACAGGAGACGGGCTTAGCCCATTTTCTGCTGCTGTGACTGGGCACCACAGAGCAGGCTATTTATTGAGGACAGTCCTAGATCCTGAGAAGCAAGGACCCAGGGGTCAGCAGGCGGTGAAGGCCTGCCTAGTGCACACCACCCCCCATGGTGACGCAGCAGAAAGCCACTGATGTCACCATGGGAACCCAGCCCCAAGACCCAAAGGCTCCACCCCAAACACCATTAGCAAAAACCTGGGGATCAAGTTTCTGGCCCATGAATCCTGAGCTGCATTCAAACACAGTAGAGGGACCCAGCGTGGTAGCCTAGTGGCTAATGTCCTTGCCTTGCATGTGCTGGGATCCCCTGTGGGTTCAGGTTCTAATCCCGGCAGTTCTGCTTTCTATCTGGGAAAACAGTAGAGGGGCCAGAGAAAATGCATGGAGCGGGGTTATGTCCCTCGGGGGAACGGAAGTTGTTGGGAGCGGGTGGCCAGAGTCAAACTCTGTCTCTAGTGACCAAATCTTCCAGTTTTTCTGGAAAGTATAAGCATTTGCATTCAGTATGATCTCATGATTTCACTTGAATTAATTTATTCAAGGCTTATGTATTTATCTGAAAGAGTCACAGTGGACATGAACTCCCTGGTCCCAGCCAGATCCGTGGAAGGCTGTATCGTGGGGTCTGGAGTATGGGCCCTGGAACCACTGGTTTTTGGTTTTTAAAGCATCACGTATTTATTAGAAAGCCAGAGTTACAGAGATCTTCCATCCACTCATTCACTCCACAAATGGCCACAAAGGCTGGAGTTGGTTCAATTTTAAGCCAGGAGCTTTTTCCAGGTCTCCTGTGTGGGCGTGGGGGCCCAAGAGCTTGGACCATCCCAAGCTGGTTTTGTAAGCCGTTAGCAGGGAGCTAGATTGGAAATAGAACATGAAAACTATTTCCTGGCATCAGTGAGCTCCCAAATTTCAGCGTAAAGAAAGCTGACATTTTAAGAGCAGGTGAATGTTCAATGGAGAAAACAGCACAGCATTTAAGAGCCCAGGATCGCTCGTTTTGCAAATCCCAGAGTGGCCCTTTTCCTATTTTTATCCTCTTTCTGGTTCTCCTGAGGATGTCTGCTACAGCTTTGCTGTCTGCTGGGTGAAACACAGCTTCCTTTACCCTCTCCTGTCAAGATCCAGGGGGTGCCGTCCCACCCACCCATCGCCCTGCTGCCATTGCCACGTGGAAGACCACCTGTAGGTGTGTGGGCTCCACTGGCATTTGCACGCCCCTGCAGGAGCCAGGATTGCGGGAACTGCAGGTTAGGGTCCGAAGGTCAGAGGGTGCAGAAGGGTGCTCATTTCTGTGTAGTTGCTGCCAGCTACCCTGGCTGGATTTGTTTCCTAAGAACTATCGACGCTGGCTCCTGGTAGCCTTTCCCAGGTTCAACGTGGAGGATTAAAATCCACCAAAGGAAAGCAGAAGCGAACTAAAGAAGGGGAGAGAGAAACCCCCAAAACAGACACTAGTCTGCGCCAGTCCCAGCAGGGTGCTACTGGGTGTTGGCAGAGGAGCTACAACTTCACTCAGTCTGATGGGAACTCCAATTTAACCTGTGCCCAGCAATGCTACTGCGGAAGTGGAGGGGCTGGGACATGAACCGGCGCCCCATGGGATGCTGGAGTAGCAGGCGGCAGCTTTACTCACTATGCCATAGCGCCAGCCACTGAGTCATATACTTCAAAATGGTCAATTCTGAGGCTGGTATTTTAGCACAAATGGGTTAGGTTGGCGTGTGCCGTGTCTGCATCCCATAGCAGAGCACCCTTTTGAATAATCCTAGCTGCTCTACTTCCAATCCAGCTTCCTGATAATCCTTGGGAAGGCAGAAGACGGCCCAAGGACTTATGCCAGCCACGCAGGAGCCCAAGATGCAATCTCAGACTCCTTCTTTGGCCTAATGAAGTCCTAGTTCTTATGGCCATCAGGGAGCGAACCAGCAGATGGAGGATCCTTCTCTGTCACTCTGCCTCTCAAATCAACGCATCAACAGAGAGAGGGAGGGATAGAAAGTTCTTCCAGCTGCTGGTTCATTCCCCAGGCCAGAGCCAGGTCAAGCTAGGAGCTTCATCCAGGTCTCCCATGTGTGCAGCAGATGCCCAAACCCTCGGGTCGGCCTCTGCTGGTTTTCCAGGGTTATTAACAAGGGGTTGAATTGGAAATGAAGCAGCCAGGACTCAGGTCAGCGCCCACACGGGATGCCGACTGTACCTGCCATGCCACACTCTTGGGCCCCCTAAATCTTATTTTTTTCTAAAGATCAGTTCTCCCATTGCTTTCTTTCTATGTGTGTTGTTTGGACTTTTAAATAAATCTTGCTTTACAAAGGAGAAATACATGGGATGTGGAATTGATTTCAACCCCTTACAAAGCTCACAAGGTGCTCTTTGGAGCAGCACAGGAAACAGCTAGAATAGGCACAGCAGAAACAGGCTGCATCGCACCCCTTCTGCGGCGTCCACAGAACCAGGCAAGCACACGGGACTCTGCGAGCTGTGGGGCATACACACACACACACATACACACACAGACACATACACACAGACACACAAACACACACACACACACACACATACACACACAGACACATACACACACACAGACACATACACACAGACACACAAACACATACACACACAGACACATACACACAGACACACAAACACACACACACAGTTCCTGCACCCAGGACATCTGCATTTTCCCAGCAAAATCAGAGATTTTTGAAAAATCTTTACAAATAAAAAAAAGATGCCTGGAGCCAGCTGCAGTCCTTTCTAGGACTGTCCTGGCTACTAAAAACAAAGACAGCAGAGGGCCAGGGCGCCCAGAGCTCCCCCAGCAGCCGGCACTGCAGATGGCTGGACCGGGAACCCAGCACACAGCAGCCCCTGGCCAGAGCGCAGGAGACGGGCCCCAGGTGAGAGGCCCAGAGCGGTTAGCCCAGCCCTCCTGTCACCACAGTCACTACCAGGACCCTCCAGGGCAGGGACAGCTCAGAAGCCCCCCTCCTTCCCTCTGCTGAAAGTAGCCTCCTGCCAGGGGCAGGCAGGGAAATGGAGGCAGCAGAAACGGCTGCCAGGGCACATCCACTACAGACACAGCAATGAGAAGTCTGAGTCCCTTGGCTGAGATGCCCACCCTCCAGTCAGCCTGGCCCCTGGCTCCGACGACCATGCTGCTGGCAGAGCCCCCCAACTTCCACTCAACACTGAGGGGTCATAGCCATACAGGTGCAGAACGACCTCTCCAAGGCCACTCCTTCCACGGTACCTGCTCCTGCTTTGGGGGACCCTGGACTCTCAGGGGCCAGGCCTCCAAGGAGGAACACCCCAGATCAGGCTGCGAGGGAGCCAAGCTCTGGGGCCTGACCACTTCTTTTCCTGCTCTCTGTCCCCTCCCACCCCAGACTGCAGCAAACTCCGCTGGGCCAGAGGCTGCAGCAGAAAAACCCCATGGACTGGGGAAGCTGCTGCTGCGCCTTTGGACGTGGGAGGATCGTGGTGGAGGGGCGGGCAGAGTACAGCGCAGAAGCCCCATCCCCTCAAGCCTGCCGCAGCTCTAGATCAAGCAAGCTCCTCGGCCTGAACTAGGGTCTCCAAGGGGCCCACTGAGGGACTGGCTGCAAGGAGAGCCCAGCCAGGACTCCAGCAGACAGAAGCTGTCCTGGCACACACATGCCCGCAGCTCATTTGGTTGTTCCGGCATCATGCCTCCCTGCAGGGCTCTGTGTGTTGTGGACGTGGCCAACAGCAAGTGTTCATCCAGGTTGTGCTGGCTGTGCTGGGTCTGTGTGTAAACAGCCGAGGAACAGCCCAAGCAGGAGACACAGAGCCCAGGACAGCAGGCTTGCTGGCCACCTCTGCCAGGACAAGGGCGGAGCCAGTGCCACCTGGCCACACCCTGCTGACTCAGGCCCCTCTGGACTGGTGCATCTCAGACCGTCTGTCCTGCTCTGGGCTGAAGGCGCCATGCCCAGAAGCATGGCAAAGCTCTGTGTTTACACGGTACAGGCCAAGCTGGACTTCACTCTGGTCCCATGGGGCAGCCTGAAGACAGAGCCCCAGACCCGTTCTTCTGTGACCCCAAGGCTGACCAGCACAGACTGTTGTGCTGCGGTTCAAACTCAAGCTCCTGCCTGCCTCAGACTTGAACTTGCCACAGCAAGCTGACCTGTCCGGCCCTCTGCCTGTCCTTCTATCAATCTGCTTTTCCTCTCCCTAAAAGGCAAAAGGTGGCTCTGCTAGGGTAGTCAGGCGTGGGGCTGCAGCCAAGCCCTGCCGCACGGGGACCCTGCGAAGAACCCACAGATGACACATGGTGCCAAGAAGGAAGTGGAATGGGGGGAGCCCCAACATCACAGCTCTTCCCCAGCTCAGCTGGGCACAGGAAGGACCTGCCAGGAAGAGCAAGGAGGAGGAGAAAAGAAGAGAGACCTGTCTCCCAGCCCTGTCAGGTGGATGTGCCCTGGTCTGCTCCCCGCTCTCCATGCCAGCTCAGCAACCCTTGTCCACAGGGAGGCAGGACAAGGACAGTAGACACAGCACAGCTGCAGCCTGAGTCTTGCGGACAACCAGGAAAGGGTCGAAGCCCACAAAAGCTCACTGCAGGGCCAATGTGGGTAGTAGAGTGGTGCAATCTTGGAACATTGCGGTGCCAAGGCCTGGTCTCCTGGCCTCTCTGGCACCACCTGCCACAGCTGCACACTGGATGTGGACCTGGCATAAGGTGGGGTGCTATTCTCATCCCACCTCCACCCTCCATGCTTCCGGGTGGAGTCTCACCTCCCTGCAGCCCTGCAGCCTGACTCCTAGCCACCAGTGTGAAACACAAGCTCAGGGTGGGCAGGAGAAGAACCAAGAGGGAAAAGAACAGGAAATGACTGGCGGGTTGGGGGGCTCCACCTGCAGCCTGCTGCACACTGCCGGGCGCAGGCAGGGACAACGGCTTCCGGGAGTCCTCCGCAGCAGCTGAGCTGGACACGAAAGGCCACTGCTCTTCCCTGGCTGTGGGACCAGCCCCTACTCCCAGGAACGACCAGACTGTACCAGGTAGCAAATGACAGCCTGCCCCGTGTGGCTCCTGGGGTCTAAAGCCACAGAGAGGACTTGCTTTCCTCCCAGCTGGGGAGGAACCTATGTGCACGTGCATACAGTTGGTGCTCAAGGAAGTGCGCACGCTGCAACCTGCTCACCTCACACAAGGCGAGGGCAGGGGACCGGGTCCCCCACTGTCAGAACAGGTGGACCCACACTCCTGACCCCAGCTATGCTCTTGGCTCGGCTGTCTAGGATTGGAACCCACAGTCTGGTGGGGGTCAAGGCTGTCAACACAGAAGACAGAAGAGAGAGAGGTGCCTGGTGGGGGGGGCGAGGGAGGGCTCCAGGAAGGGGCATGGCTGGGTCATGGGGGGTAGATGTCGGTGGAGCCCTCGCCCAGCCCTGCCCGTGACCACTGCACCTGAACTCTCTGCAGTAGCCTCCACTTTGGGCAGTCTGGTGCGAGTTTCAAGGTCAACGCCTAGTTTGTTTCACTGTACCACATGCTCCCTACAGACAGTGACAACCCTGAGTCAACCTGGTCCAGTCCCCAGCAAGATGCTCCCTACAGACAGTGACAACCCTGGGTCAACCTGGTCCAGTCCCCAGCAAGATGCTCCCCTCTGCAGCGGCTGAAGCCGCTGGGCGCCGCCGTGCAGTGGGCATCCCGCAGGCAGGCAAGGCTGAGGCGCCCGAGCTGGACCACGCACGCACGCACCTTCCACATCCAGCGTCTCCTTCATGATGATCTCCACCCGCTCCACGTGGTGCCGGTTCCAGAGGCCGTCCAGGGCCTGGCGGTTCTGAGCCCGGAAGGGCAGGATCTGAGCCACGGCCTGTCAGGGAGGAGATGAGTGAGGAAGCAGCCAGGGCATGGATTCCTCCGGGCCTGCTTGCCAGCGAGCCCCCTTCCCCTCCAGTGATGACTTCAGTGTCACAGCCCAGAGGGGCTCTAGAAACTTCTAAGGAGACCCCTCACTGGGTTACCAGCTTTATGTTTTGCCAAGAAAGAAACATAAAATCACCCATTGTCCACTATCCAATTTACATAAAATTTTATTTTATTCTTATGTAAAAGGCAGAGTTACAGAGAGAGACACAAAGAGACCTCCCATCTGCTGGTTTCTCCCCAAATGGCTACAGTAGCCAGAGCCGGGCCAGTCCAAAGCAAGGAACCAGGAGCTTCTTCTGAGTCGCCCACCTGGATGGCAGGGGCCCAAGAACCTGGGACATCCTCCATTTTCCTAGACCATTGGATCAGAAGCAGAGTAGCTGAGACAAGAAACAGCACCCGTATGGGGGCGCTGGCACAGCAAAAGGAAGCTTAATGCACTACACCATCAACCTTTAATAAAATGGTATTTTACATCCCAGCCAGGGCCAGTGCTGTGGTGCGATGTAAACATTCCATATGGGTGCTGATTTGAGTCCTAGCCGCTCCACTTCTGATCCAGCTCCCTGTGGCAGATGGTCCAAGCCCTCGGGACCCTGCATCCATGTGGGAGAGCTGAAAAGCACTCCGCCTTCAGATGAGCTCAGCTCTCGCCATTGCAGCCGTCTGGGAGAAAACCAGCAGATGAAACATCTCTGTTTCTGCTTCTCCCCTCCTTTCCAATTAAGTAAAATAATAACAAAAACAATGACAACAACAAAACCCGGCTAGAACTGTATCAAGGAGAGCTTCTGATTAGACACATTTGGTATATTTTTCTACCTAAATCCCCTGTTCCCCGGGACTGTCCTCGCTACCTGGGGCTGCTGTTGGGGTTTGGAAGAAAAATGATGCCCCTCGGGGCCCGGCGCGGTGGCACAGTGGTTAAGGTCCTCGCCTTGCACACCCGGGCGCCGGTTCTATCCCAGCAGCCCGCTTCCCTTCCAGCTCCCTGCCTGTGGCCCGGGAAAGCAGTCAAGGACGGCCCAAAGCTTTGGGACCCTGCACCCGCATGGGAGACCCGGAAGAGGCTCCTGGCTTCCTCTCTGTCTCTCCTCTCTGTATATCCGCCTTTCCAATAAAAAAAATAATAAAAATAAATCTTTTAAAAAAATAAAAATAAATGATGCCCCTCCTCCAGGCAATCAGCCTGCACTCAGCCTGTGTCCAGGCTCAGTGGCCTCGGTATCAACCGGCAGGGAGATGCCTGCAGAGCCGAGGCCAGAGCAGCCTGGACCCCCTCAGCCTCCTCCCCCAGGAGGTCTGCCGGAGCTCCTACCCCAGGGCCTGGCCAAGACAATAGCTTGTTCCCTCCTACTGGGTATCGGCATTTTGTCTCTAGCCTTGTGGCTCCAAACAGAACTCAGCTTTTGTAAAAAGGCAGATGGAAACAGGAAAAGCATCCTCAATAGGGAGCCAAGCCCAGACACCAGGGCCCAGGACCATCTCTGCAGTGGACGCCGGGCCCAATGGAGCCATCAGAACAGAGCCTGGCGGGACATGTGGACGACGCTCAGTGGTCCTGCCTGCTGCTCACTGCTCACTGGCCCCGTCCCCTCCTGTTCCCCTGCAGGAAGAGGGGGCCGGGGTGGTTTAAGATCCCCAGCACCCAGGGATCCAGGCCCACAGTGAGTGGTGTACTCTGAGCCAAGGCGCACCTGCTTGCCCAGGTAATGGTCCACCCGGTACATCTCCTCCTCTTGGAAGAAGCTCCCAAGTTGAGTGGCCAGCTGCTGCGCTGAGGAGTGGTCGTGGCCAAAAGGCTTCTCAAGAACAACACGCAGCCAGGTACCTGGCCCGGGGCGGCAGCTGCTGTTGATGTGGCGAGCAATGTCGGCATAGGCGAAGGGTGGCACCGAGAAGTAGAAGAGCCTGCCAGCCTCCCTGAGGCCGTCCTGCCGGACCTGGGCCTCGATGTCCGCACACAGGGCCTGGTAGTCCTCTGCCGTCTTCAGCTGGTGGTACTGGCTCAGCTGCAGGAACTGGGCTTGGAGTTCTGAACAGCGGCCAGGGGCCATGTGCTCAGGACAGGAGAGGGATTCCAGGGCCTTGGCCATGAGCTCCTGGCCCTGCTGGGGGGGCGTCAGAGCAGCCCCGTGGAAGCGGAAACTGTGGCCCTGCTCTGCTTCATCGAGAAAGAGCTGGAATAGCCCCTGCCACAAGTACTTCTTGGCCAGGTCCCCAGTGGCTCCCAGCAGGATGATGGAGACGTGGCCCTGCAGCGCCTGGGCTTGCAGGCAGCCCAGAAGGGCCACATACATGGCCACGGTGAGCATGGTCCAGACACCTGGGCACCTAGGTACATGGGAGAGAAAGACAAGGAAGCAGGAAGCATCAGATGTGATTCAAAAAGGGAAACCAACATACGTCCAGCACGCCCAACATTTCCTACCTGGCAAGAAACGGCCATGTGTTTCTTGGGAGAATGCTCAGGCCAACAGCCTCGCCTCCCCACAGGGCAGCTCAACTTCTGCTCCAGCAGGCTCATGGGTAAGCAGCCTGCCCTGCAGCAGGCACCATGCCTGGGAAAGCCACCAACCACCTGCTAGAGGGACATGGCAAAGTAGCGGCACGTGCCACGGGGAACCCCTGTGCAAGGCCAGTGTCATCTGTGCACACTGGCAGCTCAGACCAGCAGGACCCCAGAACGCCGCTGGAACTGCAGGAGGACTCTGATCACCTGCTCCCCGCTCTCACTCCTGACTTTTCCGTATCTGTGGGACTCAACACAGACTGACGAGTCCAACAGCACGCGCAGTGGTCACACAGATGCCAGCTCCGCCCCTGAGAGATGGCACTCCCACCTCAGCATGCTTACGACGACAGTACAAATTTAATGCAAATGATACACTTAGGACAACAGTCCCTGTGCCTAGGAAGCACTGCGGGGGTGGTAGCCGTTGTTTGCCCATGGCAGAACACTTAATGCTGGCATGTGCCGTGTGCTGAACCAAGTCCTCTTGCCCAGCAGATCTCACTGAATCTGGAAGGAGCCACATGGGCTGAAGTCAACTAAAGCCCCTAGAGCAGAGGAAGAGGTAAAGGCCCGCAGTGGGAAGGGCTGAGGGCCTGGGACTGGCGCCAGGATCCTTGGCTCCTGGTGGAGCATGCACTGATTGCCTGCTACGATCTCCGCCAGGGCGAGCTGACCATCGAGGCTGGCTCTTGGCTTAATCGGAAGCAGATGGCGAGTTGGAGCGGCAGGAGGCCGGGCTGGGGCACAGACACACATGGGGCTGTTGCTTTTCCGGCCCCCTGCTCCAGCCAGGGCTGTGGGGTCACGGTGCTCAACTCTGCCTCCTTCACTGTCTGGCTTGCCCATCTCCCACCAAAGCCCACGCTTGGAAGGAAGGCAAGGAAAGGAATACCGGCCAGCCGCGGGGTCCCCAGCAGTAGATAGGGCAAAAAGGGGCCCAGAGGGGGCCAAGGTGGGAAAGAGACTGCAGCGACAGTGCCAGCACCCTCACATGCAGGGCAAGGGACAGCCAGGATCTGCAGCACCTCCGGAGGCTGTGGGTGGTTGTGCAGAGAAGGAAAACAGGAGGTCCAAAGGGATAATAGGGCCCTGCAGAGCAAACCGGCTGCCCGGCCCAGAGGAGACCACACCTCCAGCTTGACTGACATCAGACCCTCCTTGCATCTCTCCTGCTACCCAGCCACACCAACACCCCTGAACACCAGAGTTGGTGGCCCTGTCCACGGGCCACCTGAGGTCTCCACAACCAGAGCTGTAACTGCAGGAGCAAAGGAGCTTGTATGAAGTCCCCAACCCTTCTCCTCTCCCCTTCCACCCCATACCTGCATGCACCCCCAACCACACACCACAAGAGCCCTCCCCTCTCCTCCGCCTTGCAACCCCCCGCCCTCACCCTGCAAGCATTGCTCTCTCCACTGGTAGGTGCCCCTGCCCAGAGGAAAGGAAAAGCTGCAAGGTCAGTGCGGGAGAGGAGGCAGTGCGAAATCTGAAGCCCTGAGAGCAGCCTGCAGGAGGAGCAGCTGCCAGCTGGCAGGCTGCAGCCCACAGCTCCTGACGCGTCCTGCCAGCCAGCCAGGGCTCCGGATGCACCTGGCACAAGGGGAGGGGCCTGGGAACCTCCTAGCCCTGGACCAGCAGGTGGAGGTGCCCCGAAGGACTGTAGACAACCCCTGCACTCGAGCTTCTGACTTCCCAGGTCCCAGGCCGACTGCCCGCCCCTTGCTCATGGCCCCCCAGCCCCTTGCACTTGGAGGATAGCAGGTGTCTCAACCCTGTTGTGGTTCTGCTAAACAGCTCACAGAATAGCTACCTCCGTCAGCCCCTGGTGGCATGGGCGTGCACATATTGTCATGACCGTGACTTCTTGACCTTGGCCGAGTTACTCACACCCATCTCCACATTCTCTCTCCCAAGGAACTTGTGATAATGCAGGTTCTGATACAGGAGTCTCAGGGGCCACAGTCAGCCACACCAGCATATTCAGACCCTGGGTAACAGAGTCCAGAATCCCAGAACAGGGGGGCTGGAATCCAAATGCGCTCATTCAGGCACCCACACTCTGCCACTTCACCAAGACAAGGCAATGCTGAATCAGCAAGTCCAGGGAGCCCAACACGGCCCATAGTAGCTGTTCCTGCCCACAGCCCTGCAAGCACTGGCCGCTAGCTAACTCCCAGTTGAGCCACAGTGGCTCCACTGTTCTGCCAGGTGGTCTGGTGTCTGGGTGACCCTAAAGTCCCCTGGAAGCCCAGCTCAGCCCAGGTCCGATCAGGATCCAGCCGCCTACCCAACCCGCCTCCTCTCTGACGTGGCTAGTCCGGAGGCCTTTCTCCAAAGGACCCCTCCCCCCACCTCCTGGCTGGCTCTGGGAAGGACAGGAAGCAAAACTTCCCAGACGACAGAAGGTTGGCCAAACTGCAGTGCGGGGCCTGGTCTCATCACTGATCCAATGACAAATCTTTTCTTTGTTTTCATCAATTAGAAAGTCCCTCATGTACTGCATAAGGCCAAGAACTGAACTATGGGCTGACTCCTGCCCCATTCAAGCCCACAATCTTGAGCGAGTCATTCAGCTGCCTCTCTGGGAACACAGGATGGAGCTCAAAGGCCTTGGTGGGGTGTTCCCATCCGCTGTCCTGCTCCCCAAGAAAGAGCGTCACCTTCCCACACAGCCAGGGGCCTGCTCTCAGCTTCCAGCCATTACAGTAACTCCAAGTCTGAAAGATTCCAGGCTGTCCTCCCACGAGAAGCAAGCAAAGTGGGTTACAGCCAGGGCTTGGGGCGCCTGCATCCCACATCCTAGTACCATCCAGCTCCATGCAGCTCCTCAACTTCTAATCCAGTTTCTTCCTAATGCACTTGGAGGTACTCAGGTACTTGGGTCCCGGCCACTCATGTGGGAGACCTGGATGGAGTTCAAGGTTCCTTTGCTGTGGTGTGGTCCTAATCTGGCTGTAGCAACCACTGGAAAGGGAACCAGCAGATAGAAGATCTCACCTCATTCTCTCTGTTTCTCTCTCTCGTTCTTCTTTCTCAAGCACATGCAAAAAAAAAAAATTTTTTTAAAGAAAATCCTATATGTAAAAAGCCACAAGTTCTCAGACTCAAGATGATTTGAAAGCACAGGGTGGAGCGGGGGCCTGGCTGTTCTTGCAGCAGCTGGCCTGGGGTGGCCCCAGCCCTCTTCCCTTCCCCAGACCTCCCTGTGCCAAACACATCACTGAGACACAAGGCAAGAACCATTGCTAACGATCATAAACACACATTGGCTCTGTGGGGCCAGACTGGTGGTAGAAGCACCACACAGGACTCGGGGTCCTTACTCCTCCCTACGCCCCGAGAACCCCCATTCCTGTCCCCTTCAGGTGCCAATCCTGGTGGACTATAACTAGCATGGTACCAGCGCCATGGTGAACCTGTATACAAAATTTAGTTACTAACTTTTCAATAATTTGGCAGGGAGGGCTAGGGGTTCCTGGCACATTTCAACATCCTGTATGAATGCTGACCCAGAGTCCGGCTGCTCCACTTCTGATCCAGCTCCCTGTTAAAGTGCCTGGGAAAGCCGCAGAGGACAGCCAGGGTACTTCAGCCCTTGCCAGGCACTTGAGAAACCAAGGAGGAGTTCCTGGCTCCTACCTTCCTCCTGGCCAACCTCCTGATTGTTACAGTCATTTGGGAAGTGAGTCAACAGATACAAGATTTCTCCCCTCTGTAACTCTGCCTTTCACAGAAATAAATAATTCTTAAAAAAAGAATGTTTCAAGTCAGTTGTTACTGTTACATAGGAGCCATCCAAGATGTCTATTTGTAATTCTGTAATTCAGTGAGATTATGTTTATTTAACATAAAAGTAGGGCCCGGCGTGGTGGCGCAAGTGGTTAAGTCCTCGCCTTGCACGCTCGGGATCCCATATGGGCGCCGGTTCTAATCCCAGCAGCCCCGCTTCCCTTCCAGCTCCCTGCCTGTGGCCTGGGAAAGCAGTCGAGGACAGCCCAAAGCTTTGGGACCCTGCACCCGCATGGGAGACCCGGAAGAGGCTCCTGGCTTCGGATCGGCATAGTATCGGCCATTGCGCTCACTTGGGGAGTGAATCATCGGACGGAAGATCTTCCTCTCTGTCTCTCCTCTCTGTATATCCGCCTTTCCAATAAAAACATAATAAAAATAAATCTTTAAAAAAATAATAAATAAAAGATTAAAAAAAAAAAACATAAAAGTAACAAGATCTTAAAGCATCACCCAGTCACTTTCTCACTGCTAGATCACGTGTTACTAGGGTTCACAGCTCCAATAGCAATAAAGTGAAGACACTCTTTAACAGCGAACTTGAAATTGGCCTGCAAGGGGCTTCCAAGCACAGCTATGGGTCCACAATCAGCCAGCTCAGTGATCTCCGCCTCCACAGAGTCCGTGGCTAAACACTCACCAGCATGCCCTGCCTCCATGCCCAGGCTGCCATACCCTACGCCCTGCCTCCATGCCCAGGCTGCCATGCCCAACGCCCTGCCTCCATGCCCAGGCTGCCATGCCCAACGCCCTGCCTCCATGCACAGGCTGCCATGCCCAATGCCCTGCCTCCATGCCCAGGCTGCCATGCCCAACGCCCTGCCTCCATGCCCAGGCTGCCATGCCCAACATGCATTTCTCCTTGGAAATCCACATGAGCTACTCCATGATGAGTTTCCTTGGATAGCTGCCAGACTTAATTGGTTCAAAATTGACCCAATTTCTCTCCCTATCTGCTTCAAATGCAGTCATCCTAACCCATTGTCAGTAAACGGCAACACCACCCCTCAAGGGTTCAGGCCAGAGACCTGGGAGTGGCGCTCATGTTGTGGTGCACATTAAGCCACAACCTACAATGCTGGCCAAGTGCTGGTTCAAGTCCCAGCTGCTCCACTTCTGTCCAGCTCCCTGCTAGCATACCTAGGAAAAGCAACAAAAGATGGCCCTAAGTACGTGGGCCCCTGCCACACACATGGGAAACCCAGATGGAGTTTTGGGCTCCTGGCTTCAACCTGGCCCAGCCTCAGCCATTGCAGCCATTTGGAGGCATAAAGCAACCCAAGAAGGGTTAGCTCGCTCACTCTCTCTCTTTAACTCTTACAAAAAGATCCTGGGGTCCTATGATGTGTCCTCCAGTCTCCACCTTATTTATCCCACCCCAAACACTGCTCACAAGCCCTGCCCCCATCCTCACCCCCTCGGAGTGACCCCAGCAACTCGGACTGGCCTCTTGCTGCTGTGCCTGGTCCCTCGGTACCCGATCCTCAGCAGAAGCATCAGAGGTGTCTTTGTATGGCATCCTGGGACCATGTTGTCCCTGTCCAGGCTTCCCCATTCTGGCGTTCCACCTGCTGGCCTGCCTTCGCCAAGCCCCACTGCCTGTCCCTTGCCTCAGGCCCTTCGTACTTGTGGTTCTCTCTGTTTGGCTTACTCTGATGTGCAGCTGTCCATGGGTCTGCTCCCTCTTTGCCAGCAGGACCGGCTTGGAGCACTCGGTGAAGTCCCTCCCCTGCGCCTCCTGGTTTCCGGCTGTATCTCCGTCCACAGCTCTCACCACTTGCTAACACACCTGGTCACTGTGCCACGTACTTGCTCCTCATCCGCCACTCCTCCCCCCAAGAACATCCGAGCTGATGTGGACAGGGACTGGCAGTTATTTCGCTCACTGCAGGTACTTCCGGTATCCAACATGGGGCCCAGAACACACCAATGGCCTCTACAAATATTTGCTGAACAAACAAGGTTTCTCCCTGACACAGGATCTCTCAAAATTGTACATGATGACCCAATGGCTAGTGGCGATTTCTGGCTCTGTGACCCAGCACACACCAGCACCTGCCTGTTACTTGTGACAACAACATGATTCTACAAGAAGGCTGATTAAGAGAACATTGAATTGTATGCAAATACACACCATGCCACTCAATTCTGACCCCATCCCCACGGCACAGGTACCAGCACCATCTCCTGTTTGACAGTGGGAAAAGATGAAAGCACTAAGCGCTTCAATCGGGCAGCTCAAGAGGGGGCGCGATTTGAAATCCGGGCAGGCTGGTCCCAGAGCCCACCTCCCTCCTGCCTCCCTCCCTCCCTGGAAGATGTCTGACCATATCCCCAAAACGACCAACAGGAAGTGCTGCGTTCACATGGGCAATGGTGCTGCTCCCCTGAGACAGCAGGGCCTGGGCTCAAGGCCGAAGGGATCCCACCCTCACGGGAGGGCGCTCCACATTGCCAAGTCAAGTGTTCCTGGCCGCCTGCACCGCCTCAGCCTCCTGTGATCGCTTTGCCGAACAGCGACTCTCGTCTCTGACGCCGCGGGAGGCATCCTGTGCATGGCTCCGGTGCCTTGTCAAGACCCACAGGGCGCGGGCTCCACTGCAATGCTGCGTGGTAAGCTGGGGCTGTCCTATGTCAGGGAGCTAGTTCCAGCTCCCTGCTAAGGGGCCTGGAAAGCCAGTGCAGGAGCCCCCGCGTACTGAAGCCCCTGCCGCTCAGGTGGGAGATCAGGATGGATTGTTGGCTCCCAGCCCTAGCTGCTGTGGCCATTTAGGAAGTGAACCAGCAGGTGGAAGATCTCTCTCCCTCCTTCATTTTCTTGATGAAATAAGCAAAACAATGAAGAATCTTTACTGAAGAAAGAAAGCAAGCAAGCAAACCTGGCAGGCTCTTGAGAGAACTGGTGAAGTGAGAGAACTTTGAATTTAAGCTGTCTGGTGCAGCGGGAGGCCAGAGCTGTTATTTTATCTCTTGTATCTCAACCATCGAACCAGCAGCTACAGGAACAAGGAGCCCCAGAAGGTCAAACAGCCAACCCCGAAGGGCGGAGCCCTGGGGCTGGGGCTGTGAAAACATCTGGTATGGCTCTCAAGGGCGCTGCAGCCCTGACCTCTTCTCTCGGCAGATCTGGGTCTTTTGCTTGGCTGTGAAATGGGGACAACCAATCGCATGTTAATGTGTGGGTCACAGAGCGGAAGTGGGTGGGAGAAGATGGGTTGAGAGAGCTCCGGCCGGTCAGGGGGAGAAAGGCCGCGCAGGTGCTCTGGAGGCAGAGCCGAGCCTGGTGGACTGATATTTCGCCCCCATGCAATTGCCATCAGAAAAGTTGGAAGCTACTACGCCACCAAACAGCACGGTTGCTTTGAGTTCCTTTGGTTTGCCTCTAAGCCAGGGCCCTAACCAACGCCGCAGGCAACAGCGATCCCCCCTCCGCTAGGGACGTGTTCACATCCTGCAGTTGTCTGTGGAGCAACCACACACACCCCTAACACCGTGACGCCAAAAGCCGCTGGCGAAGTGAGTTCCTGAAACGGAAGATGCGCCCCCTAAGGACCCCAGGTCCCACCAACCATGCATCACTGAGGGGAACGCAGAGTCCGCGATCCTGCCCGTTGCGTGGACCACGCAAGCCGTGACGTCTGCAGAAGTTCCTGGGCCCGGGGTAACGCGACCCCTGGGAACCTCTCCCAGGCTCGCGGGGTGGCCCTGGATGGGCCAATGCCAGGGACACAGACGCGGCTCCCACTCTTGCCGGACGTGGCCTAGGAGTCAGGCATGCCGGCCCCTCGGGGCTGCCCTGCAGGGCGCCTGGCCACCTCCCACCCCCGACGCGACCCTGACCCGTGCCGCCGCTGTCCCCGCTCCGGGAGCGCCGAGGGGCCTTTATTCCACGGAAGGAGGCGGTGCGCGAGCCAGCAGGGGCCGAGCCGCGGCGGCCGAGGGGCGGCAGCTTACTTCCTCGCGCTCCTCCGACTGGGCCGGGGCGCTGCGGCCGGGCTCGGGCGGGCTCGGGCCCTCCCCTGCGCCCCCTCCTCCAGCAGGTGCTTGCGTCGCGGGCGGCTCGGTGGCGCCCCAAGGCCTGGGGGTGACCCGAGGGGAGGGCACCCTGCGTTTCCCCGCCCACCGCAACCCGAGGCTCTCCCCCGGGCGCCAGGGGCGCGCGCTTGGGGTGGGGCCGGGGCGCGCGCAGGAGGCGGGGAAGCAGGGAGGCCACGCCCGCACCCCGCGGCCTCCGCCGGCCGAGCAGGGGGCATTCGGGGAAGGTCTTCCCGGAAGTGGCCGAGGGAGCAGGCCTTGTCCCGCAGGAGACCTGGTCTTGGGACCCTGGGACGCGGAAGCGATCACCTGACCTCCCCAGGCCTGTCGCCTTCTGCCATCTGCAGGAGATGCCGGTTCCGTGCCATTTCCACGGCCCAAGAATGGTGACTCAGGCGTCATGGCCCACGCTAGTGCCACACGCTTCCCTCCTCCTACCAGACAGCTTTCCGGTTTCTGCTGCTACCTTGTCACCTTTGGGATTTTGAGTCTTCGTTCATCTGGGTCAGGGGAGACTGCAGCCCTGCCTCCAGGTCTGTGCCTGGCAGATGGTGGCTGGTACCCCCATAGCTGTAAGCGCCAGGAAAGGATATCCAGCCTGGGTGTATAAGGGTGACCACAGGGTCAGCGTCCCCTCCTGGAGAGGCAGTCTGCACCTGCGTTATTCTGCAGCCTGGGCCTCATCTCTCGCAGCTCCCAAACCTCCAGCTCCCTTGGGGCTCTTCCCTCCAAAATGCCCAATGTCGCATGCCCACTCTTTAGGGGGTCCCAGCGCCCTCCCTTTCTCAGACCCACCTCTGGCGTGGCCACTTCTGCTGAGTCGGGAGCGGATCTTCCCACGGAGCCTTTTAAAGGAACTAGTGACAGTTCTTTTCGAAGTGAGGGGACATGGTGTCAGGAAGTGGCAGAAGGATCTCTGCCATGGTCATTGCCCCCGGGACTGAGTGTGGCTAGCCCTGAGCGTGATGACCACATAGGATGTTAGGCAAGACAGGGAGGGGAAAACAGGGCTTTGCTGCAAGCGCCAGGGTCACAGGAAGGCTTCGAATCACGTGGAGTGGGGTCTGGGGGAGGGAGCTGAGGAGCTGGTGCCCTCCCGGCACCACCCACAGCTGGGAGTGAGCCAGAAGGGCCAAGGCAGGGGTCAGCTAAGGGGCAAGAAGCCTTGGATGGGTTTTGGTTTCCTGTCGGCTTGGCTGAGGGCAGATCCCAGCTGCCTGTGCTTGTTGTCAATCCGATGGACTCTGCCCCCAATCTCTTCTGGGCCTTTTGGCTAAGATCAGATGTGGACCCTGCCCCAGCTACAGCCCCAGCCTTCCCGAAGTGCAGTCCAGCCCAGCCCAAGCCCTACCTACTGCATGTGCTTCGTAAGCCCCCAGCCCGCCCAGCTGCACCAGAACATGCTCTTTCTGCTGTGTTGGCCAGGAGCTGCTGTGGGGTTCACTCTGAGTAAATGTGCTGTGGCTGTAGGTCCTGGGTCTGTCTCCTCTGTATCTTGCCCTTGCAGGGGGAGGGAGGTAAGACCAGATCTAGGGCATTTCCCATGCTCTATCGTAGGACATTGTGATTCGTAGAAGGACCTCGAACATAGGAAGACAATTGATAGGATATCGTTTTATGAGAATAACTGATTTGATACCATTCGAATGAGAACACTTGATGGCATGTACAAAACAAAAAGATAGTTTCAAACATGGGTGTGGAAACAATTGATGGGCTTCCATAGAGAGGTTTATGGGAACTACGTAAGCCCCTCAGCACCTCTGCCCTTACCCTACGCAAGCCTCACTCTGTAAAAGCCTGATGCCACTAATAAGCTTCGACTATCTCACCAAGACAGTAGAACCTCAGTATCAAAATCCCAACCATTTGTTGGTGGCTCATTGCTACTAAGAAACCGCCTATGTGACCTTTAGTAGCCTATGTGACCTTTAATGAATCAAGGCCCACCTAAGTCTCACAGGTGGCTCCGAGAAATTAAGTGGCTGCTTCTGTTAGATGCTGGAGGCACGGGCTGTCCAGCTGAGATAGGCTGGGAATGTGTGATATTTCCCCTCACCTTGCAGACTACTGTGAATTACCCCTTTTCACACTATTGTGGACTGCCCCTATAAAAACCCTATGAATGTGGTGTTCGGGGCCATGCTCCGATAAGAGGTGTTGGTCCTGGCTGGCTGGTTGGTCAGCCAGCTGCCTGCTCTCAACCGAGAACCCAGGCTCAGATGTGTTGAACTTGAATAAACCATCCTTGTGCTCTTGGATTGACTTCAGACTCCTGGTGATTTCTGGGGATCTCAGAATCTGGGCACAACAATTTCAGGCTCTGTGCACCTAGTCCCTCCCTGCAGGACAGCGAACACTCTAGCACGTGGGCCATGAGCGCCAGGGCCAGGAGAGGTGGGGGAGCTTCCCGGATTGCTTTGTGCGCTGTTACAAGGGTGAGCTTCTGCAACCTTGAGGGCATCTGTGGTGATCTCCTGGGTCAGTGATCGCTCCAGGAAGGAGCCCATAGTACGTCCACTGCGCTGGGTGTGGGCTGAGGGTGTAGCCCCTGCTCCCCAGCAGGAGTCCCCACCTCATTTTCCCACACCTCACCCCTCCATGTCCGTTACTCTCCACCTGTGCCCCAGCTGGGCTGTTCCATGCAACCCCCTTGCCTTCTCTCCATTGTGAAAACCCTTGGGCGGTGCTGAACTACCATGATCCGGGTGTGAGAACATAGCTCCCCAAAACAAGCATTCGAATCCTCATTCTGAGGCACCCCAAGAGTGCTGCGGCCTAAGGGACAAGGTACACCCCAAACTCTGAAGGAAGTTTCATCTCCCACCCTGGGGCTCTGTGACGGAGGCAGTTTTTAGCAATGACCTGTTTTCCAACTACTTCCTGACTATTTCCCGCTTGGCCTTGAACATGGGGAGGCCTAAGCAGTTGTTGGCACAGCCAGCTGCTCAGACATAGAAAGCAAGACCCAAAGAGATGAATGACTCAGGCAGGCGTGGGGTTAGAATAAAACTGCACTGCAGCTTCTATTTCCAAGTTCCCTCTGGGTGCCAGCTCTCCTTGCTGGCTCCTTGCTGCGTTTGGGCTGCAGAGGGTGGGCGCACCGGTCATTCGTCCACGGTCAGCCATGGTCAGACTGTTAATCCCTCCCACCCCCCGTGTGACAAACCTCAACACTCTGCTTTTACAACTGGCTTCATGAACTCTACCTGAAGTGGTGACTGATCTGTTTCCAACTGTGGCTGCAACAAATCACCACAATTTCGTAGCATAAGCATCTTAAGCAACTTGTACATCTGTGGAAGTCAGAGGATTTGGGCCTTGTTGCCTAAAGTAAGAGGTTGGCGGAGCTAGTTTGTATTTTCTCTCTATCTATCTTTATGATTTATTTTATTTGAAAGGCAGTGGCACCCAAAGAGAGATCCTCCATCTGCTGGTTCACTCCCCACTGCAATAACCAGAGGAGCCTGGCGCTTCATCTGGGTCTGCCCTGGGTGCAGGGGCCCAGGTGCTCGGCCAGTCCCTGCTGCTTTCCCAGGCACATTAGCAGGGGTCTGCATCAGCAATGGGGCAGCCGGGATTCAAGGCAGCACCTTGCTACGGTATGCCGCTGTTGCAGGTGGTACCTTAAAGCACCAGGCCACATGGTGGCCTCCAGAGCTGAGGCTCCCTGGGGAGTTGTTTCCTTGGTGGTTGCTGAAGCCAGTTGTGGACTTTGTACTCCTGGGCCTGGACCCTACCCTGCCTCCCGCCCCCAGCTTCCTCACTGGCTCCTGAGGAAGGTACTCCCAGCTCCCCCCGGCTTGCAGCCTCCTTTCTCCACCTCTGATGTCACAGTGCCAGGTGTGTGCTTTGAGTCCTGCCCCTTCCGTTCCTGGCATCAACTCTCTGACCCAGATGCAGAAGGGTCCTTCCTGTTGAGGACTTTGAGGGCACTTGGGCCTCTGCACCCATGTGGGAAGCCAGACCCCTGACTGCAGCCTGGCCCAGCCCTGTCACTGTCAACACAGGGGATCACTCCCCAGACACTACCCTGTGTCTTTGTTTTCTCTGATGTTCCTCACACGTGAATCAGGCAATACATGACTTTTTTATGTCAGAGTGCCTTCTGTGTGTGGGTTTCAGGACTTTTTTTGCAGTAAAATAAATGTATCTTTTAGTGTCCTTTTCCACCCACTGTTTGAAGCATCCTCACATAGTAGAACCACCCCCCCCCTTGTGACCCACCATTAAATGTGGACTGAAAATGTTAAGTAGAAAGTTCTAGAAATGAAGAGCTCATCACCTTTAAATAAAATCAAATCTCATGCCATCCCACTGTGCCCTGTCCAGGCTGTGGTACTTCATCCCTGTTCCCAGTGTGTCCACACGGCGCGTGCTGCCCGAGCAGGACGCTAAGCAGCCGTGCTGGAGCACCAGAGCTCTATGTGCACATGACCCAGATTTCAGTCAACAACAGCCGCGATGCGCAAGCACCGTGATGCTGCTGGCTCAGAGAGGCCACAGGCCCGCTGCGTTCATGTGACAAGGTGGAAGTTTGTATGTTGAAGTTACCGGAAAGGATGATTCTTGCAGGGCCAGCCCATAGGTCAGCAGATTAAGCCATGGCTTGCAATACTAGCACCCCATAGCAGAGTGTGGTTCACATGCTGGCTGTTCTGCTTCTGATCCATTCCTGGGAAAAGCGGTGGAAGATGGGCTGAGGGCTTGGGCCCCTGCCACATGTATGGGGTGGAGTCCTGGTTCTAGGTTTCAGCTTGGCCCAGCCCTGCCTGTAGCAGCCACTGGAGACTGAGCCAACAGGTGAAAGAGCTCTCCCTCATTCTTACCTCTGCCTTGCAACTAAATAATTAAAAAAAAAAACAGATTTAAAAAATGTATTTGAAAGGTAAAATTGGAAAGAAAGAGCTTCAATGGGTTCGTTCCCGTAAAGGAAACAGCCTGAGCTGGACCAAGCCTAACCCAGGAAGCGGGATCTCCATCCAGGCCTCTGGGTGCTAAGGGCCCAAGAGCGTGGGTCATCACATGCTGCCTCTCAGGGCATTAGGGAGCTGGATTGGAAGAGTGGACTAACTGGGACTTGAACTAGCCTGGGATGCTGGCATCCCAAGTGTGGCAGCTTGACGTGCTGAGCTATAACACTAGTCCCAGAACGAATCTATCCACGGGATTATGAGGAAATTACGCAGGTTTGGCTACTGTGCCTTAAACCTATGCAAAACCTATGACCACAGCACTTCTTTCAGCTGGAAAAGGCATTTAACCTCTGGTCCTGCCCTGTCTTCAGGCGCAGGTAGAGGGTGAGGGTTTGGGAACATATCCCCAGTGGACTGTGCAGGGCTGCTCTAGCCATGGGCGCCTCTATACCGTGCTCATGATATATCCACATGCTGGCATGTCGGGCCCCTGTTCCTTCGTGTTGCTAAATAATATTTGATTGGATAGACAGTGCATACTTTGTTGATCCAAGCAGTGGTTGTTGGACATGATTGATTCCACTTCTTGCAAATGTTGGTCCTTAAAAGGGGTTTACCCCAAGACTATGTGGTGCCACCTGCACAACCAAGGCCACC